GCTGTGGAATTCCACAGCATCCCAAATTCTGTCCAGGTGGAATTAAGGGAAAGATTTTCCAAATTACAATGGGCAGGTAGATGTTAAAATCCCACATAACTCCCCTTAGTGCCTTTGGGAATCTTTCCCTAAATTCCCAATAACGCTTCCTGGACGATTCTATTTTATAAGGTATAGTGGTTAAAACTGGAGGGCTGGGAGTGGGGAAAGATGAGCTCCTATGCCAACTGACTGATGTGTGAAGCTAGGCGCATGACTCAAGGCCAGACTGTGAAGTGAACCCCTCACTCACATTCACCTGAGTATGCCCATTCACTCCAGTCGGACTGCTCACCAGGGTGATTCATAACCTGATCTTTGGGAAAAGATCCTGATATCCACAACCAGGCTGGGAAACATCTTTCTCCACAAGTTGCCTTGCCCACTGATTATATGCTGTATTTGTGAGATAAGGTCCTATTCAACCTGAGTTTCAGGATATCAGAACCTGCCCTTGACTACTCTGGTCCTCAGCTTCCCCCAAGAGGATAATACTCATCTGACCTTTCTGAAGCATTTTGAGTAGGGGTGGTCACACCTTTGAATTACCATTCCACAGGAGAGTCTGACATTTCAACATTTGTTTTCATTTCAAATCAGAAACAACCTTCCACTCCCCCCAAATTATGGAAATTTCCTGTAAACCAAAGCTTTTGGAAAAAAATTGTTATGGGTCAACATTTTTCGCATTTCTATTTTGACTTGATTTTGTATTATACTTTGTAAGATTTGAAATAGATTTCAAAATGCAAAAGTTGGAACCTTATTGAAACACTTTCCCCCAATTTTTATTTTCAAAATGAAATCTTGTCAAAATCAACCTGTTCCCCCCAGAAAGAATTTCCATTTCGACAAAACAGTTTTCCAATGAAAAGACATTCCATTGGAAAAATGTTTTTGACATGCTCTAATTTTGAAATCCCAGGAAGGAAGGTACTATACAGCACTAGATATTCTTATGGTTGGGAAGATCTTGCATGTTACCTGCACTGGTTTTGGTGAGAGATCAGTACTTTACCAATAAATCAGCTTGGAAAAGAGATGACTCGGGGGATATGAAAAAGGTCTATAAAAGCATGACTGGTGTGGCAAAAGTAAATGAGGAAGCGTTATTTACTCGTTCTCATAACACAAGAACTAGGGGTCACCAAATGAAATTAATAGGCAACAGATTTAAAACAAACAAAAGGAAGTATTTCTTCACACAATGCACAATCAACCTGTGGAACTCTTTGCTAGGCCAAGACTATAACAGGATTCAAAAAAGAACTAGATAAATTCATGGAGGATAGGTCCATCAATGGCTATTAGCCAGGATGGGCAGGGATGGTGTTCCTAGCCTCCGTTTGCCAGAAGCAGGGAATGAGCGACAGGGGATGGATCACTTGATGATTACCTGTTCTGTTCATCCCCTCTGGGGCACCTGGCATTGGCCACTGTTGGAAGACAGGACTGAGCTAGATGGACCTTTGGTCTGACTCAGTATGGCCATTCTTATGTTACTTCTGCCTGCAAGCCCTGGCTGCAAGAACGGTCAATGAGGTAAAATTAAATCAAACCTTCCCTGTTACATTAATTCCAGGAGAGGCTGCCCTTCGCTGCCCTTCCTGCTGATCCCACAGGAAGCTCTGGAACACACCCTCCTCTCCGCTGACTCACTCCCTTGCAGATACTTCCCATTTCCTTCATGGTACCTCCCCAGCCTCTGATTCCAAGGCACCTTCCTCAACCCAGCTACTCAAATACGGGGCTGAGATTCAAGGTTCCAGTCTGGGCCCTATCAGCAGTTCTGACCTTTCTGCTGCATGAACTTTACCCTGCATGATTATTTGACTGAAGTAATTCAAATAAGAGAAATCAGGGTCTGTTTTTCCCTTGACTCTTAGCTGGTGTAAATAAAGTGGAGGGGGAAAACCATCTGATGCAAGGGTTGAAACTGCAACAGCTTAGCAAGCAGAACTCCCTCCGAAGCCAATGGAGTCCCATGCACCGAGGGACTGAATTAAGCCTTAAAACTGCACAGAGTTTACATTGCAAAGAAAGGCTGATCCTATTCTTGTGAAATTAGGGCATGAGATTATATTCAGAGTTCAGTGTGTAGCTGCTCCATACTAGTCAGTGATGGGCCTGGAATTCTTCCACAGGAAATCTGCCAGTGGAAGCAACAGCAGCGTGCACTGACTCAAAGCACCTCCTTGCAGTCCTAGCCGCACACCATCCCCAGCCAGCACCATTTGCCTCCTGTGGGCTGCCAGTGAAGGGGAGGTTGCAGCTGCTTACCATGTCCCTGGTTGAGTTTCCACTGCCAGGAAGCCTCTGTTAGTGTCTATTAGCGTGGAAGCCAGCACAGACTCCAGATGGATAATACCCACTGTGACAGAGTTCCCCTTTTAGGCATCTGATTTGCTCTACTAGATCAGATCATTGGACCATCAAGCCAAGTCTCCTAGGTGTAACAGCACAATCCTTTACAGTAAGAAAAAAAAATCCTTCAAATCATCTAGACAGTCATGCAATGCTACTCATGGGGGGGGAGGGGGTTATGTGCTACAAACACAGGAAGGAACAACTTCAGCAAATAATATCAAGTATCTGATGCATCCTTAACAGAAGGAGAATTCAGCAGTTACTAGCAGTACCCTTTATGCTTTCCTTAGGGTAGGACAGTGCACTCTAGAATTCTGCTCAACTGTATTAATAGACCCCTGAACTTGCCTGATTCTGGGTTCTCATTTTAAAATGCAAAATTCAGCCTAAACTCTAAGCCAGTCAGTAAACCTATGTCTGAGTCAGTCTGGGACAGATTCTGGTTTCACACAGAAACAAGAAACCATTCAGCCACTTTGCCTAGAGGTGGGTCCAGATCAAAAACCTTTCGTGAAGTTCTGATCTGGATGTAAACTTTACAGCAGGCTCTCGTCTCTACAATGGGCCAAACAATCCAACACCCCTCTCCACTTCAGGAGCCTGCAGGCAATTTCACAGCCTGCAAGAGAGCCAGTGCGACCATTTGCCGCTCAGGACCACGGCTAGCTTTGACAGCATCTTGTTTTGAGCCCGGGCTTTTTACAAACCCCACTCTCAGTTGTTAGAAAACCACATGAGTCCAAGGCCAAAGAAAAGGCTTGTCCTACCCCTTGCAAGTTGAAACAGTGGATTTTATGTGGTTCTAGGGGGCTCCCAAGCTGCATGAAATACCCCAGATAAAGTGACTAGAATCCTACTGAACAACCAATTACAACACAGCAATTATATGGGCACTGCAAAAGGGGCTTTAAGGCTGCTAGACCTCCAATGACTCACTGCGGAGTCACCTTCTAACAAGAACATTTCCCCCACATTCCTTCCTGAAGGTGACCCATGACTTTTGGCAAAGACAAGCAGTTACATCCCTAAATTGCCCACTATCCAGCCAGCTTTTATTATTGCATTTCTTTTCTTTCTCAACCACGTGTGTCCTTAATTCCCTCACTGAAGAGGAGCTGGTACATTCTCACCCCTTGTGTTTCCAAATAAAAGGCCAGATCTGATTGCCTTACTTATGTGAGGAGTCATGCTGAAATCAGGGAAGTGCATGAGATTTGGCCCAGGATTTCTCAGCAGAGCTGTCACATTGCACCAAACAGACCCAGGAAAATGCGCCCTGGGTCGGGGGGGTGGGGGGGAGGAGGGAGAGAGACAAATTGGACACAGCAGAAAAGAGAGAGGTTTATTTTTAATCCAGTTATTTATTCATTTCACCTGCAGTGGCAAGCAATTCGAGTTTCGAAAGCTGCTGACAGAACAGTGAGCTACACTGTGTACTTTCTACAGCTGTTATCAACGTCACTCGCCTGCACGTAATCCCAGAAGAATTTAATCACTCAGCAATCATTAACAAATAATCAGTTACAGGATCAGGTCCTATTACTCTCAGTTTAAACACTTAGCTACCAGCATAGGCCTAAGTTTTCAAAAGTGACTAGTGATACAGGATGCCTTAATTTCTGGGTGTCCAACCTGAGATGCCTTAAAAGGGCCAGATTTTCAATCCACCCTCTGAGAATCAGGCCCATTTGAGATTTCACAAGCTGAGCACCTAAAAACCCTGGAAAATGTAGGCTGCATTATTTTTCTTTTTATTTACATTGCTGTAGTGCCTAAGAGCCCCAGGCACAGACCAGGACCACACTGTGCTAGGTGCTGTACAAACACACTACAAAACAATGGTCCTTGCCTCAGAGAGTTTACAGTACTTACTTCCATGAATAACCCCTGTGCTGAGCCTATGAGGAGAGTAATGAATTGGTGAGTCTAGAGAAGGCCGGGAGATTCTAGCTCTGAGTTAAATGGTTATTTTATGTAAATAAACCAGACCTCAGAAGAGGGTAATTCAAAAGCACCAGTTGTGGAGATCTGACTAGGAAAAGAGGGAAACTGATGCAGCAGTGCATCCAACAAAGGAAGAAGTAAGGACCCGTTACAGTCTCTCACTCAACTATTTCTTTTGTGATGCTCAGAGAAAGAAAGTCAAAGCTCTGTTTGAGATCCCAGCCTCTGATGCAAGAAATAACCTTTGAAAGTGACCTCTCCCAACACCCCAATGCACGCCTCCACCCACTCTTCCCTGGTAAATGAAGGAAATCTTGTGAGAGGAGAGATGCACAGGGAATTACAGGCAAAATTCTGTAGCAGCATACATTCAGCTCAGAAACTGAAGTTAACTCCCTTGTGAATTGCTAGGTTTTTTGCTACAGCTATGGATATTTTTATAATCTGATCTTTAAAAGGAGGGGCAGCATATGCTTCATTAGTTTTTATAAGACCAGCTTATACATACACACACACACACACACTCCACACTATGTGAGAAGATCCCACACCTGAGCCTCAAAATACACCCTGGATCTCAAAATACACCCAAATTACAAAACATGGCACACAATCCCTAGGGAGGCTTATTGAAATGTCATGTTACTTACTTGTCACAAAGGGAGTTGACAGAGCCTTTGGAACTGCAGCCACACGGAAGGCAGAGCCCACTGGTTTGGTTCAGGAGATATCCTTCCTCGCAGTTTTCACACCGCAGACCAGTGTAGCCTTTGTGACACTCGCACTGTCCCGTTGAAGTATTGCACTCATTCACACTTGCACTCCCAAGAGCACTGCAGTTACACAGATAGTCTGCAAAAGAAAAAAGAAACTGAAATTAACATGCTCAGGTCATAAAATGAAGTATATAAGCATTGGGGAAAAAACTCTCTGTAAACATGCAAAAATTTCCAGGAGCATATTTGGGGCAATCAGGCTTGCATGCTCTTTCTGCGTGTGTAGCTTTGAAACAGCATTGCCAACCCCAGTCAAAGATGATCAGTCAGGGCCTCAAAACTTACTTTAAAAAAAAAGTTGAGACTATCCCATAATCACATGACTCAAGGAGCTGGGGCTTTCAAAAAGACACCAAATATCACAAGACTCATGATAAAACTGCAACATCTGGCAACATCGCTATCTGCTTATATAGTCTTCAGCTCCACAGCATTAGAGCACCTCACAATTCATGGATTTATCTTCATCACACTCCAGTGAGCTAAGGCGGTATTATTATCCCCTCTTTACAGATGAGGAACTGCACAGAGAGTGAGGTGAAGGGCCAGATTTTCAAAAAAGCTCAACACATCGAGCGCTGAGCACTTTTGAGTGCTGAGCACTTTTGAGTGCTGATCGCAAATGGCACACAACAGCTGTGGATATTGCCCAGGTTTCAAAATCTAGCCATGATGCTGGTGCCTACTAAAGAGCCACCAATCTCTTCTGAAAATGTGCCTCTGAGTGTGGATGCTGAACATCTGAAAATCTTGCCCTAAAATGACTTGCCCAGGGTCATACAGGAAATCTGTGGCAGAGCTAGGAACTGAACCCAGACCCGCCAAGTCCCAGTCCACTGCCTTAACCACAAGAAAATCCTTCCTCTCATTACCTAAAACAGAACGAAGCAATTTCAGCCTTGCTGTTGGCAGGCAGAACTCCACTAGAGTCACCACAGGGCTATCATCTTATCTGAAGAGCCATGCAGCCACGCACCCCCCTCCAACCAACTTCCATGGAAGTTCTTCATTTGGAAGGTTTACCAAATCCAGCCCTCAAAGGGCAGAGGCAAAAGATCAGACCACAAGTTCTCAGTCTACATAAACTGAAGTGTTTACAATAAAATTAGAATTTCTCCCCAGCAAACTAGAAATTGACACAATTAGTTACAACTTCCTTTCTTTACTGGAAAATATTGGGCTATTAATAATTTAAAGTATTTATCTACCAAGACTGAATTTTGAATAAGGTTCATGTCTGACATGGAAAACAGGCTTCGAGGGAGTTAGGCAACACTGATTATTATTTACCGAGAGCAGCCAGGGTCCATGGCGCCGTACACATGGAGGCAGTTGCTATAGCCACTAACCAGAGGAATTTACAATCAAGAACCCAATCTCACACACTTTACCCCCAGAAGTCACCCACTGAAGCCTACTGGAGTTTTGCCTACTGGAGCACTGGAGGGCCTAAAATTAATAAAATATTTCAATATTCGTACTTCACAATTATAGTGTACACTTATGTCCCTATTCAGCAGTCCGTCCCTACTGAGCAAAGCACTTAATCATATGCCTAATTTTATGCACCTGTTTAAGTTTCACTGAAGTCAAGGAGACTTGAACACATGTTTAGCTTTAGGCACATGCTTAAGTGTTGGTCTGAACATGGACAGATTTCAGAATGTATTTAAATGTTTTGTTGAACTGGAACCTTACCGAGGATCTCAAAAGTGCCTTTAGAAATACCGGCATCCCAGAGAGAAAGTACATTTATCCATTCGTCAGATTAATTTACTCATTTCATGATGGCTATTCTTGGTATATTTGCTTGTGGAACTTGGGGTGGAGGAAGAGATTATAAATCAACTTCCCAACTGGTTACATACATTTAAAACATTCTTTTTAAGATTATGCCAAATTAGTTCTGGAATTAAATAATGAAAAACGGTGAAAGGAATGCTGGAAGCCTTCTTCTCATAAAGGGTTGAATGGGGAAGTACTGGGAACTTCCTAAGAATCAAATATCCAGACAGTTAAACGTCATGCAGCTCAATATTTAGAGTGATACCAGGTTTATTGTTTTTACAGTAATTCAATCCATCAGATGCACAGATCAGTTTTGCACCAGATTAAGAGATGAAAAATTTTCTCTCATTCATGCCAACATAAATCTGGAGTAACTCCACTAACATCAATAATTATTCTGCATTTACCCCTGTGTAAGTGAGATTAGAACTGGGCCTGTATTTTCTTGGATCAGAACTGATTACTGAAAGGAAAACCTGGAGACCTGTAGTTATAGAGGTAAACATCCACTTCCCATCACAAGCACAAATTCCCATCTCAGTTATACCGGTGTGGCCTCATTGATTTTGGCACTTTGACTTCTACCAATGAGCACAGGTCATGGGCAGTTATTGGAATAAGCGGTCCCTTTTCAGTTTTTAAATCAAACTATGAAACACATTAATTACATTCCATACAATGAGTTTTTAAAAGTAATTAGTCATAACAAATTTGATAAAAAAGATGATGTTCTATCTAATTGAACAGTGTTCCTAGATGCTAAGAGGGCTATGAAAGTGGTGGAGAAGAGAGACAACTATTACATATTGCTCCATATTCAGAAGATCTTACTGCTGCAGTCGCAGCATAACATAAATCATTGCTCGTTCTTATTTTACAAGGCTAGAGTCAACGTAACACTGCAGAAATGTCTGCGATAGCTTTCTGCTGCTCGTTGATAGTCCACCAGTTCTACAGGGAAAGCCATGGCTATTACAGCCCAACTTCTCTTCTAATTGCAACTCAACTGACATCACTATAGTTTCTCCAGAGTAAAAAGGAGAATTGGACTATATCCTCTCAAAAGAGACCTTTTTTGGGTGGGGTGGGTGGGTGGGGGGAGGGTTGCAGAGCTCAGATAATCTATCTAGCAAAAAGGTGCGGAAAAGCAACACTGGCCCAAACGACTAGCCAAATCCAGCCTAATTCATTCAAATGAGCAGTGAAGTGGTTCAAACTTTCAGAGTTTCGTGAGAGGAAGGGGAAGTCTAATGGTTATGGTGCTAGTCTGGAACTCGGGAAACTCAGGTGCAGTTTCTGGCTCTGTTACAAAAACTTCCTGCCTGATCAAGGCACTTAGGGCTAAGAGCACTGCCCTGCCAGCCTTAGCGGAGAGGCACAGAGAAACTAACATGGGAGTTGTGAAGGTAAATATACTAAGATTGTGCAGTGCTCAGACACTATAGTAACGGGGGAGGTCATGTAAATACATTAGATAGATGAGATCTCAAGTACTGCAGCTGGAGGAAACCAAATATAAGTCATGCTTTGGATTATATTTTACATCTGCAGCATCTACAATGTTCTATGTCTTAACATAGCTTTCAAAACGATAGAAAGAATAATAAAGACTTTGGCTGAGATGTTCAAAGCGGACTATGGGATTTTTGCAGTCTTTCATCAAAATTTCACCCAGCTCCATTCACAAGCCCCGCACTCTCCACTGTTAAAAAACAACAACTGCAAAACCAAAATTAACAATGTTGAATAAATTCTAGCGAGAGTCACAATACAATAGCAGATGTTCCATAAGTGAAAAAGAAAAGTTAATGTATCCATAGAATGTATTAGACCCCAATCCTGCAACTTCAGGCACACAGACTGCACCTTCACAGAGCACCTTCACGGAGTCCTATTCAGCTATGCACATGCGGTGCCCAACTGAATGAGGGTGAACCAATAGCCGCAGAAGCCAGTAGCAGCATCTGCCGGTCCACAAGAACTTGAAGGATAAGAGGTTATGTTGTGAATTATTCACTCCATTATACCAGCAAAGTTCTCAACCATTCTGGTTCTCAACCATGCCCATCATCATGGTGTCGGTGTGCCATAAGTGACAGTCAATAGGTCACAAGATTAGCCTCTTCAACATATGGGACTCTCTTTCTTTCGTCCTTTCTGGCGTTCTGTGACTTTCTTTGTTGGGCCTGTCTTGTAGTAGGTGACTACCTACCATTACCTACCTCTCATTACCACTACAAAAGTTATTTTTCCTCCCTTGCTATCCTACTGTTAATTGAATTGTCTCGTTAGACTGACCTCACACTTGGTAAGGCAACTCCCTTTTCATGTATTTATACCTGCTCCTGTATTTTCCACTCCATGCATCTGATGAAGTGGGTTCTAGCCCACGAAAGCTTATGCCCAAATAAATTTGTTAGTCTCTAAGGTGCCACAAGGACTCCTCGTCGTTATTACTTTAGAAGTTAATTACCCTAAGATTCTGAAAAGACCGTTAATTGATGTCACACCACACTGTAGCAGGCTCATGAACTTTTATCTGTGGCCCACCCACCCTTAGAGAAGGACAGAGTGCCACACGCAATGTGGTATCTCAAACACGAACAGGAAGAATTTATTTCCCACTCATCTCATCACTGAGGTAACAGATTCCCTTTTGAGAGCCTATAAATCTTGAGAAAAAGTTAGCTATGGAAAAATTAATAGAAGATGGGCTATATTCAGACACACTGCATCTTTCGTCCCTGATCAGAGAAGTTAAGCCATCTAAAAGAGAAATCTTTGGTCCTATCCAGCCCCTGACTGAGGCCAGTTAATTGGATCATCATCTATATTGCAAGAGTGCCTAACATACTCTAGATATACAAAGATATAGGAAGCAATGTCCCAAAGAGCTTATTATCTTAAAAAAAAAAAAAATCTTCATCTAGCCTTGGTCCCATCTATGTGGGGTCAGAGCTCTGAGTCCTTCTCCATTCCAGTCTGTTTTCAAACAGTTCCTCAGAGCTAATTCTTTTTGTACGATATCCATTAATCTAGCTTTGGATCTTCCAACCATTCTCTTACTCTCCACTTTTAAAATTTAACATCCTGTTTCCTATATGTTCTTCTGATACTCTTTTCATATGCCCAAAGCATCTAAGCCTGGATTATCTCGGCTTTTCTATAATTGGTAGCACCTACACACTTCCCTTATTTCATTCATTCTGAACATGATCCATCCCAGTAACTCCAAGCATCTGTCTTAACATTTTCATTTTCACTGTATTTGAGATCTGTTCCTGTCTC